TGTTCAGATACTGTTTGCATAGTGATCCGGTCAAGTGATCATTGTGAAAAATAAGATTATATTGTAATAGATAGATAAACATAACCAATCAACAGTATTACTACTAGACTAAACTTTATTCTAAATATAAAGAAGAGACAGGGAAATTTGTCCCAATTGTGGGGCAGCACTTAATAGGATATTATAGTCCTTCCCAAATTAATATTCATACTTATTGGGAATATAGACCATAACCACCAAACTAAAGACAATATGTCTCCATATATTTGAATTGGTATATTAAAATAAGATATCATAGTAGAAGAAACAAGTAAGAATGTTATGTGGCTATGTAAGAGATGTAAACAATAATCATAGTTAAATATATTCACTGTATAGACAGTGATCACGGTTTAGATGTATTTAACAAAACCTTATTTCCACAGTAAGGCAGGTACCGGAGCAAACAGCAAAAAAGATAAATATAATGGACCCATAAAGGATAATGCATAACAAAAGTACTTAATATCACATAACTTCACATAAACCATGACCTAAAGTGTCAAAGACAAGAAGATGATTAAGTTGATTTAGATTCGTGGGGTATAAAGAAATAGCGGCAGGCGCACACTCCCTAGGAAAATACCCACTCCCAGAAGGGAAGACAGGTAAAGACTTCTTCCACATAATTATATACATTTCGAATAGGCAGATATACCATTTCAAATGAAAGGGGAAAAGGAAAAACCCTCATTGAGTCCTTTTGGGTGGAGGGTATTGAGTTTGTAAATCCATCTGCATTCCTTTTGACGTAAGATTTTATCGAAGTCTCCTCGTCTGGACTCCCGTTTGACCAGCTCGAGACCACAGAAGCGTATATTTCTAGACAGCCCATCATGGTGTTCTTTAAGGTGTCTAGAGATGGGGGTCTCTACACGATTCTTGGTACATCTCACGTGTTCTTTTATACGTTCATTGAAGGGTCTGAATGTCTTCCCCACATACAGCATTTTACAGCTGCATGTGAGGAGATAAATTACTCCCACCGAATTACAGTTAAAAAAATGGGAGATTTGGAAGGAATGTTTTCCCTCACTGTCTTGTACTCTCTTAGAATCCCTTAAGATGTATTTGCACGCTACACATTTGCCACATTGAAACGTGCCCACTGGGATTTGACGTCCCAGCCACGAAGGCTGTGGACTCTGTGTACATGAATAATGGCTGGGGGACAGCAAATCGCGGAGGTTTTTACCCCTCCTAGCTGTGATGGTAACCCGAGGGCCCAATACTTCTTTCAGATGTGGGTCTCTAAGGAGAATAGGCCAGAATTTTTGAAAGGATTGCTTTATTACATTCCAACCGGTGTCGAATGTTCCAATCATCCTAATAGTTTTATTAGTACTGGAATTAGCATCAGATGTATCGGACAGAAGGTCATCCCTGTCCGTCAGCAATGCTCTTTTATAGGCTCTTTTTAAACATTTGTTTGGATAGCCTTTTTCTTTAAATTGTTGACGCAGGGATTTGGCCTTAATTTGAAATCCTCCAGGTCGGAACAGTTCCGTCGAAGCCTGAGATATTGACCAGTTGGAATGCCTTGTTTAAGAGGCCTAGGATCTATCCCACTTAAGAAGAGAGTTGGATGCAGTTGGTTTCTTAAAGAGGGTAGTTTTAATGGAGCCATCTCCACAGATCGAAATAGTGAGATCCAAAAAGTTCAGGGAGTGGCCCCCAAATTCAGAAGTGAAACGTAGATTATCCTCATTTATGTTGAGGAGAGCAACAAATTGATTAAATTCATTAGCATCTCCCTGCCAGACAATCAGAACATCGTCTATGTATCTATACCATGATGGACATAAAAGGTATCAGTGTGTCAATGGTCCTGATCTGTTCTTCCCACCAGCCAAGGTGGAGGTTTGCATACGATGGGGCACAAGACGTGCCCATCGCCGTGCCTCTCACTTGGTGGTGGAACGATTAAATAAAAAGAAGTTGTGTGTTAGGATGAACTCAGTTGAAGTTTGAAAGTAGGGTCAGTATAATGGAGCCATCTCCACAGATCGAAATAGTAGAAAATACCAAAAAATTCAGGGAGTGGCCCCCAAATCCCCTTTGATGAAACGTAGATTATCCTCATTTATGTTGAGGAGAGCAACAAATTGATTAAATTCATTAGCATCTCCCTGCCAGACAATCAGAACATCGTCTATGTATCTATACCATGATGTGATCTTTGACATAAAAGGTATCAGTGTGTCAATGGTCCTGATCTGTTCTTCCCACCAGCCAAGGTGGAGGTTTGCATACGATGGGGCACAAGACGTGCCCATCGCCGTGCCTCTCACTTGGTGGTGGAACTTCTTATTAAATAAAAAGAAGTTGTGTGTTAGGATGAACTCAAGAAGAATGACAGTAAATTCAGTATGTGCCTGATATTCAGCACCTCTTTTGTTTAGAAAATACCTAATATGTTCAAGTCCCCTTTGATGTGGGATAGAGGAATATAACGCTTCAACGTCCAGACTGCATAAATTGGATGTAGATGGAATATGTAGGTTCATAAGAAGGTGCAAAGCCTGCTTTGTGTCTTTAATGTAAGATGGCAGGTGTTCTACAAAGGGTCTAAGGATACGGTCAATATATAGACTCCCATTTTGTGTCAAATTATCAATCCCCGAAACTATCGGGCGGCCTGGTGGATTCTGCATACTTTTATGAACTTTGGGGAGACAGTAGAAGGTTGCTATCCTCGGACAAGGATTAAGGATGAAACGATGTTCCTCCTCAGACAACACTCCTCTGCTACGTCCCTCATCTAGAATCTCTTTGTAATTCTTAAGGAAGGCATTTGTGGGATCTGATTGAAGGACCGTATAGGTGTCCCTATTACTAAGGACATCCTGTACCATTTTTTCATAATTAGGTTTGTCCATCAGAACCACATTGCCCCCCTTGTCCGCCTGTTTAATGACTATAGTGTCATTATCCTTAAGGGATTTGAGGGCACGTTGTTCTTGATAAGAGAGATTTTCATTAGGAAAGGCGGGAAGATTTTTTGCTTCTATGTGATCAATCTCATTTTTCGCTGCTTCAAGGAACAGGTCAATATTCCTATAAGCCGAAAAATTAGGGGTAAACCTACTTTTAGGTTTTAAGTCTGTATGTCTAGACGGATTTTGCATGTTTTCGTCCAGAAGGGCTACCAAGTTATTAAGACAATCAACATCCCCAGGGGAGAGACCTAGTGATCTAGCTCTTTTTTCTTTATTAAGTTCGTGAAATTTGTGTAGGGCTAGTTTTCTCACAAACAGATGTAAGTCTTTGACCCAAGAGAATTTGTCAAAAGGGGGGGTTGGAACAAATGATAGACCTTTTTCTAGGACAGTATGATGGAAACTCTCAAGCTGAAACGATGAGAGATTGATAACCTGTAGTCTCGGGGTGTTGGGAGAAGTCACAGTTAGTGGCGTCTCCTTCTCCCCCGTCGTCCATCCCTCCCCCCTTGATTCCTTGATTGATAACGGGTTGGTTAATGGGAATTACTGGGAGTAACTAATGTTACAAACCCGGTAATGGTGACGTCCGGGATGGCAATTGGCAGTTTTGCCTTGAGGGGCGGGACCTACTTACCTTTTTAACACGGACATTTACACAGACACTTTTCAGCTCTTGACAAAGGTCTATTAGGTTAGATACGCCGAAACGCGCGTCGAACAATTTTAGAATGCCGATGCATTTATTTTGAGTTTTTGTTTTGTGTGCTTTTTTATGATTTTCTTTTTTCTAACTAGACATCCCTTTTGTTTGATTTTTCTTTATGATGGTGTAGAGTCTTATTAGACATATAGGAGTGGGGACTATAGGGACAACCTTTAGGCTGCCTCGAAGCAGCAGGTAGTTAATCTATTTTTCCCTGTATTTTGGGAGACAGCTAGCAGCTTAGGGCAAGTGAGGACATATAAGTGGGGCATTTTTCTGTTTCTGGCTACAAACAGCTTTTGGTTATGAGCCTAACACCCATATCACCCATTTTTTGTTGTCAATAATACATTTTTTGCACATTGTTGCAGCTGTCCCATTTCAAGTAGGGATACTATTACTACCAGGTTATACCTTTATTTATTTAACCCTAAACTTTATCCCCCTCCTTTTTTCTTCTCTACTTTGATACTAAATCCTGGATAAGGTTCACTTTGTACAGATATTACTTTCTTTCTGTTCTTTCTTTTATAACAGTGTCCCTTATACCAGGTAATTTATACAACTCACATTAGGGTTATACTCTAGCTAGTATTTGTGAATATTTATTTCACTCACCAATATCCCCTAGGGGAACTCTTTCTGGCCAACTTTTTAGCCAGTTATGTATAATTTTAATATATATGTCATCTTTCATTAAAGGTCTTGGAACCCGTTACATATAGTACACTTACTTCTTGGGAGGTATAGATCTATGAATGAATAGGTTTTCCACCTCTATCTTTGATTTTGGTGGTCTTCCAGTTCATTTTTTCTCTTTTTTCTCATAATTTGCAGGGGTTAAGCCCCCTATACCTCCTGTAACCTTTACAGAGATTAGGGATTTGAATTATTTCAACACCCTATATACTCTGTCCTTTTTCTATTATGATCTAAGTATATATAATTTTATTTTACACTGTGTTTTAACTTTTTTTTACTTTATTTCAGGCAGCACGGGGACTACCTGTCATTCCAGGGACTCCCTCTGCTGGCACTGCTATGGATGGCTATTCCGTCCATGTGATCCTGAGGTCCAAGAGGGCCAGATCATCAGCAGGGGGACTCCCTGGGATGCCTGGTAAGTCCCTCCATTGTGATCGCCGGCGAGCAGGTAAGTGACCAGGACTTTGGGGACATACTATGCCACCCGCGGCGTTTAGAGCCGGGTCCCCAAGGACAGCATAGCATGCCCGCCTTACTTAAGGGGTTAAGGGAACTGTGCTTAAAAAAATCCTCTCCATATTAGGTTTGCTTGTAGAGGAACTCAATTGCAGTGGAACGGCAACCCCTTGCAAACACCACCTTCTCAGGTACCTGAGAGAGATATGGGAAACTGGGAGATCTATGAAGGCATGGGTGCTTTTATTTACAGAGGAAGCGAAGAAACCGTTAATCGGCAGACACGATGCAGAGTCAGGCGGTCCAATGGTCAGGGCTGGCAGCAAAGGAGCGAAGTTAAGAGTCAACCTGAAGGTCAGAAGAAAGTAAATCCACAACTAGGAAGCAGGATGCAGGTCAAAGGTAGGAGCCAAGAAGCATGGTCAGGGTCAAAGCCAAAGGTCAAAAGCCGAGACGTTTACCGGAAATCAGGAACTGGTAATCAGGCACCAGGAATAAGAATCAGGAACTGGGAAACAGGATCAGGAGCCAGGATCAGGACACTACGAGACTGGGGCAAGCAGCAGAAAAACCAAGCACTGATCAAGTCCAGTGCTTAGGATTTGATCACTAGGGAGCTAGTCAAATGATCAGCCCCCACCTCCCTGTAGGCAGAGCCCCTAGTAGCTTTAATGGAGGTGCCCGGTGTGATTTTGGTTGTCTCAAGGCTCCTCCCATCTGCTCCTCCAGCACCTTCGCCCCATCCTAGCTGGCTGAACACAACGCATGGGCATTCACATGGCAACTGCCATCCTGCCACGGCAGTGCCATCGCGGAGCCTGGCACCAAACGGAGGACACCGTATCTAGACGGTCTAGAGCACCATCGGAGCAACAGCCATGAGCGTGTCGGAGCAGATAAGTGCTGGCGGGCTTTGTCGCAAGGTAAAACTTAAAAATAAAAATCTCACATAATGAAAATGTGTCCAATAAAAAATAATAAAATGCAGAGTTTAAATGTCCATATTTTCTATACGGATATGCTTCTGATTGTTACAATCAAATGTAACCAAATATAGAGTAATATATTTGCTCTGCCACTTAGCTTCTTACAATAAAAAATATGGTTCATCTGATGTTTTATTTACCTAATAGTAAGACCGGCTAAGGAACAAGTTATTATGTCCTGATATGTAAAATCATAGAATTCAAAGAGGGTGTACTTTCTTTTTCCCATGACTGTAAATTTCACACTGTGAGCAACCCTAGAAGTAGACTGGACTTCACAGAGCTAAACTAGAACACAATACCTAGACAAGCACCACTGTGACCAAGTTGCAAAGATGGTGTTTAAACAGAAATGCCACATGCTGCGTTTCACACAGTATCAAGTACTTGGACCTTTAAATGTCCAGCAAGTAGGGAGCCCAGTGGGAGACCAGCAGAAATTTAAAGATAATGTAGTAAAACAAAGGTGTCTTGGGTACTTCCATACACAACAAAAGGAAAACCACCCAACATTTCTTTTTAGGTATACCCATGTCGATAGCACAAGTCCGATAGGCTAATGATGTATGCTGCTTCTTTTTTTTTTTATTCTGTGCAGAAGAGGTACATATATGCTGGTAGTGCCATAACAGCAAATACTTTGGCAGTTCAAAGTAGACGATAGCATGGCATACAAGAAGACTGCACTATTTTTATAACATGCTTATGCAAAGTCTGCCAGTAGATAGGTCAGGGTGGATAGAGAGCAATCCATGACATATAAACAGACATTTTGCTGGTCACAAGAGAATAGAATAGACAAGATTATGAGCAAGTGTAATTTAGCAGGATAATTCCCCTTGGAGGCACCCAGTGGGTTAAAATCAAAGCAAAAAGTAAATTATAAACTAAGATAAACTCAAAAACGGAAATATTAGAGAGTATCTCAGGTATCTGTATGCATTATTGATTACTTCTCGGGAGCTCAGGTCAACCTATGCCATCAGGGGTAATGCATAATCTCGCAACAAGAGAGGGTTCTGGAGCCATGAGGTGGAGCTGTGGCACAAGCCAGATGCCTTGATCGGTATTCACCCCGGTATCGAAGAGAAGTCCCAGCATTAGGTCTTAGCTTTATTTGCAATCGTGCTGCCTTTTGTTATAGCGATGGGGTCTTCCCACCTCTCCTCCCTTTGGGGTCCCTTGCCACTGACGAAGACTCAGATGTCTGCTGCAGCTTACAAGGTGAGTGGTCACTCGGCTGCTGTGGAACAGTTTGACTCATCCTGCTCTCCAGCTTCTTCCAAAAGTTATTGAAGACCTCGTCCAGCTTGGTCAGGATGTCATGCTTCACATCAGTGTTGTCAGGGAGCCACGCGGTGTCCGCCATGATGGGTGCATTGCTAATATTCCTGATAGCTCATGTGGCTGCACTCCGGGTGAGAGCAGGGTAGCCTACCCACTGGTCCAAAGGGGGGTAGCAGGGTGCTGACAGATAGCACCAGCCTGGGAGATTGAGCGCCTCTCTTGTCCGGCATACACTAGCCCACGAGATTAAGCTGTGCAGAAAACAAGCTCCTGGTGCTTCTCAGACCCCTTCAATGCACTACAACCAGGGCACAGATCAAGTGAGTCATTAAATGCGATTGGAAACAAGCTTGGTGGGGTTGAAAATCTCTGTTATTAGCCGTGTAGGAGAGGAGCTCATACAGAACACATCTCTCCACTGTAATGGTTAGGCCCCACCACCATAATGATACATATAAGCCACAGCTTACTCCTATGCAGGGCCGCCATCAGGGGGTGACAACCATAACAGTTGTCACGGTCCTGGCGGCCCTGGGGGGCCCATTGGGTGGCCCACACACTTAGGGCCACCCGATGGACCCCATATCTTCAGTGGCCCAGTCAGCGCTGTGGCCGCGACCGGGCCCCTTTAAAAAAAAAAAAAAGGCTGCAAGTGCTGCTGGGAGGAAGTAGTGACTTCCTCCCAGCCCACTCCGCGCGGGAGCAGCGCGCGTGCCAGTGAAGAGGGAGAGCCAGGCAGTGAAGAGGGATCCGCGCCAACTCCCATCATCCCCAGCCACCCTCCTGCAAAGAAAAGGTAAGAGACAGGAGGGTGGCTGGAAAATGAGCTGTGTGTGTGTGTCTGTATGCATGTCTGTCTGTATGTGTATGTCTGTCTGTCTGCATGCATGTATGTCTATGTATGTATGTCTGTCTGTTTATGTATGTCTGTATGTATGTATGTGTATGCCTGTCTGTATGCATGTCTGTCTGTCTGTCTGTATGCATGTATGTCTGTATGTCTGTATGTATGTCTGCCTGTATGTATGCATGTATGTATGTATGTGTATGTCTGTATGTCTGTCTGTAGGCATGCATGTATGTCTATGTATGCATGTATGTCTATATATGTATGTCTGTCTGTATGCATGCATGTCTGTGTGTGTCTGTATGTATGTCTGTGTGTATGTCTATGTTTGTCTGTCTGACTGTATGCATGCATGTATGTCTATGTATGTCTGTATGTATGTATGTGTATGTCTGCATGTATGTCTGTATGCATGCATGTATGTCTATGGATGTATGTATGTCTGTATGCATGTATGTCTGTCTGTATGTATGTCTATGTATGTATATATGTATGTCTGTATGTCATTATATATGTATGTCTGTATGTCAGTATGAATGTATGCCTGCATATCATTATGAACGTATGTCTGTGTGTATGTGTGTATGGATGTCTGTATGCATGTATGTCTGTCAGTATGTCTGTATATATGCATGTATCTCAGTCTGAATGTATGTATGTATGTCTGTATGCCATTATGAATGTATGTCTGTTTATGTCTGTATGCCATTATGAATGTATGTGTGTATGGATGACAGTGTCTGTATGTCTGTGTGTGTGTGTGTATGTATGTATGTCGGTGTCTGTATGTATGTATGTGTCTTTATGTCCTCATGCATGCGTATCTGTATGTATGTTAGTATGTGTCTGTCTGTCACTATGTATGCCTATGTGTATGTCTCGGTATGTATGCCTGTATGCGTGTATGTGTGTATGTCTGTTTCAGTATGTGTGTCTGTTAGTATGTATCTCTGTCTTTTTGTATCAGTGTGTGTGTTTGTGTCTGTGTGTGTATTCCTGTGGGCAGTATTTGGAGGCGGACCCAGTGGGCAGTATTTGGAGGCGGGCCCCAGGGGGCCCAGACCCTGAGCTGAGTTAGGGTGGCGGCCTAAAATTTCTGGTGGCGGCCCTGCTCCCATGTTCTCATATGTAGGGACTAAGAGTAGCCCAAGCTTTATGCATAATGTCTAGGCCATCGTAAATCTTATAGGGTAATTCAGAGGTGGATGTCTTGTCCTGTGTGAGGTCTAGAAAAAGCTCAAAATCTACATTAACAAAAAAAAAAATCATTTTCCTAGATGAGCTAAAAAACGTCAGATACCTAGGTTACAGGAGCGGAATACAAAAGGACGCATTTATTTGTATCTCATGAAAAATAACAAACAAACCAAAGCTTTGCAAAAAAAAAAAACAGACATAAAAAAAACACACTCACCTAGCATTGTGCAATACATATTTTGCTTTATCAGCGTCAACAACCTCTCATTAAAAGCTGCTGTACCTTTAAAATAGCTTGACGATCAGAACATCACATCCACTACATCATATGGCTAACAATATATACCCTGTGTTGTAGAACTACAACAGACACCCACAGATTGGTTGTAATGACGATCCTACCTATGTCTATAATTGCACACAATATCCAGCAAACCATTGTATCAGTATAAATAGGTTCCATCCATTGCTGCTTTCAAATAAATATATTGTCTCACGCTCTACACATTTATGTTTTAAATAAAATCATGACTGTAACATAAATCCAAACATTATCCTGGTAATTTATTCCCACCCTGTTGTGATTGTGGTTATGCTTGCTAACAAAATCTCCATATATCTTAAGCATCCAGGAGGACAATTAGAAGGTTTCATTGAGATTATAGTATCCAGGAGCTGCAGGGTTTACAGGGGGGAGGGGGGAAATGTTTAGGTTAATCTGATCCTACCTATTAAAACAAGAAAAGAAATTTTCAGCCAGCAGACATCAGGATATTTGGATGAAAAGGGAGAGGAAATTATAGCAGGATAAATAAAGACTATATATGTCTGTCCCTGGTGTTCTGTCCAGTGGTAAAGATGTGAAAATAGAAGGTAATTTGCCTTTTAATAACACAATGTATGTATAGCTTTATGTATGTTTGAGGTTTTACCACTCCGAGGCAATAACCATACAGAAACAGAGTAATTTAATATGTCATCGTATAGCATTGTGGAATATACTGGTGTACCACAAACAAATTAAAAATAATATATTGGTTTTCTCTATGTATCTGTAGGTAGATGCTGTGATTACGTGTTTTAACAATGTGTCAATGGTTGCCAGTGATGTATTAAGAACATGTGGAGTTTTAGGGTAACACAATTTTTCAGTGTTGATATATA